TCAAAAGAAACTTCAAATAGAGATGAATCATGTAGAAATCAAAGACATACAAGCTTAAAATGCTTTAGAACATATCAAAGGTTTTAAAAATTGGTGTTGAATTTAGGAATTCTGAAATTATTATCAAAACAAAATTAACATAACTAGATCCAATGATAGTATTGAGAGCAGTGTTCAAAAAGGCGTATGACGTGTTTTTTGTCTTTACGTAATGGTCCATAGTGTTTCTATAAGGTGTGGCTCACACCATGGCGTCTTGAGACCCGTCAGGGCATGTGTTTTTTGTAGTACATGATTTTTTCCAAAAAAATATATTCTTTTTTATTTTTTATTTTTTATTTTTTATTTTTTTATTTTTTATTTTTTTGATTTTACACTTTTAACTTTAAATTTTACATTTTTATAGATCTAACTAATCACATCATTCACAGTTTTATAAATTCATAAACGTTACAGACACACGGTTAAAATGAAGTTGTAAAATTATTTTTTTAAGTTTTATTTTAAATATTTAACGGAAAACCTATTTTTATAATAATAATGTATATGATTTTTCTTCTTCTAATATGAATGTATATCTTTTTTATATTATTATCTTATTAGATAATATATAGAAAACATATATCTATGTATATAATTTTATATATAACATACAAATTTGTTGCATTATGTCACGCTTTGAAAAACATCGTGTCATCGACATGGCGTGTAAGTCTTGAGGCTTGACCTCGCTGCCACGCCACGCCTCACGCATTTTTGAACCTTGATTGGGAGCAGAAAATGTAGAAATTCTTACTTTGATTGAACCGATAATAAATCAATTGATAAGCATACGTGTTGATAACGTGTTATAGAACAAGCAAAACAGAACAACAATAAATTAAAGAGATAGATATGTAATTCCCCTTAATCATAAGCGCTTTATATAAGGATGAGTTACAAGTAGATAACTACGAGATATTTCAGTTCTAATCTAACTATATATATTGTCACATCATTTAGACGTTGTCATAGTTATCCTACAATTATTAATAATAAATAGGGAAATAATTGAAAAAAAATGGCAAAAAAACTCAAGTACCGTTTCAATCGGTTAGCTTACGATCATTCAAACGAGGTTTTTTCAATAAGCTTAAAATATAAGGTAATTTTTAGTTTGCCAAACATGGTCTTAAAATGTTTACCCAAGTACTTTTGACATTTCACATCTTAAGTACCAAAATGAAAGTTTTGTAAATATATTACAAAAATATGAATCAGGTATAAATTAGTTTATATATTCATGCAATTAGCCGACTATTAAAAGCTAAATCTATTTTGTGTCAAATTATAAAAGACAATGATATTTTTTATTAATTTGTATGATTCAGCACCCAAGTATGTCACACCGAACAATTCAAAAGCAATTGTATATTTTATCATGGTCCACGTCGATAGATCACTATAATGATACATTATACAAGTATTTGAATGTGGTAAATTGTGTGAGCACTCCAAACATCACAAGTTATGTCGATAAAATTTACTTACATTTCAAGGCGTGTAATTTCCATAATTAAAACACGTCTCTCTTTTAAGGGTATAACGACTTTGATACAAGTGTATCCCGAGATAGTGAACAACCCAACGAATTGTTATAAATCGAAATCAAGTAATAATTGTCCCACCAAGTCATGACTAATTCGACTTAATAACTAGTATCACTTATTTAATCAGTCATATATAATTGTTCGTTTCTGCTTATTCATTAAGCAGAATACTTTGATCAATAAACCCAAAAAAAGTGTGACATTGATTTAACCACTTTTTTCAAACCTTTACTTTTAATTTTACCGTCCTCATTTTTCTCATTTTGTCAACCTTAAATCCACCATCATTTTAACTAGTGATGGCCAAAAACCGGTCCCGATCTTAGACCTCAACAGCGTCGGCCATAACTGGTCCCGATCGAAATGGGTGAGCCCGGTTTAAGGTATAGTGTAACGGGTTACGGGTTGCCGGTCCGGTCCCAACCAGTCCCGACCATTAAAAGATAAAAAAATTAATGATATATATATTTTTAATACATTATAAAATTTGTAACTGAGTCACTAAAATACACTTTAAAAATGTATTTTATTATAATTAAAATTACATTGTCTTACAAAGATACATTATAAAATTATTTGAAAATATTTATTCATCAATCATCATCGGTATCCCATGTCGGATTGATTTTAAGAGTTTCGATCTCTTGAATTCTTCTAATAGCTTCTTGGTCATCATGGTCGTCAATGTCGAGTTCCTTATAATCGTCATATTGTGAGTAAGTGTCATCGATCTCAGTAGTTGGCGGCGTGCTTAGTTCCTTGGCGATTTCATTTTCTTCCAAATTTTCTTCCAAATTTTCTTCCACCGCTTCAATCTCCACCTCTAACGATGTTGTGTGTTGAATTCTATCAACGCTATCCAAGTAATCCTTCAAACAGATGCAACACTCCACGGACTCCGGGCTTAGTTTTGTCCGACGTATCGAAGTGATCCTGCCACTAAGGGGCTGTTTGTTTTTCAAAAAAAGCCTCTTAATTACATCTGAAGTCTGATTCGGTCAGACATTGACCATTTCAGACTGTTTGTTTTTTTTT